AAATTGTCAGGAAACGTGATGTCCTATGACAAAATGGAGGTCATTTTTGGATTCAGCGCACCAAAAAACATAAAGATTACGTGGAATAATCAAAACAGCTCTCGAAAATTTTTTTTGTTGCAGACCTGTGTAATAAGTGTAATTGTAGGGAGTTCAGGAAAGAAATTAAAGTGAACACCTTTAGGAAATAGATTTTTAACTAATCAACAACAGCAGGAGTATTAATTAATAAATTGCCAAGCCAGATTTGTTAGCATTTTTGATTCCTGAATTCCCTTTTCCGTTGCTGAAATACTTTGACCTGCACTTATATTTTTGATGACTCATTGTTTCTGATATTGATAGGCCTGTCATCCAATTGTGCTGCTTAGTTATTTAGTCTATGAGTTTAGCTCTAATGGGAGTTGGGAGTTTGTAACAGATACAGGTAGTCCTCAGGCTATGACAGAAATTGGAACCGAATTACTGTCGCTAATTGTTGGAGTTCTAAAGCATGATATATCACATGATTGCATTGTTTAATGATGACAGTCCAGATTGCTGTCATAACCCCAGGATCATGCAGAGTGTTAAACAAGGACCTCATGTGATTGTGATGGGGGAAGAGGCAGGAGTTCCAGGCAAGTAGGCTGGCAGGTGAGAGTTACAAGTGGGTACTGTGGGTGGGTGCTACAGAGTACAGATATCCGAGTGCTACAGAGCATGGGTGGGTAGGCATTATGGAGTGCAGGTGGGTAAAAAAGAGCCTGTAGGAGATGACTAGGGTGAACCCCAGGGAGGGGTCAACCTATCATATGTCAAGATGCCTGCAAGAAATCTTAAGTCCAGCCCACCTTCATTCAATGCCTTTCTTATTTCCTGCTGATTTCCCTTGACTACTAGTCGGCCAGATTCGTGTAGAGACATTAATCTTGCAATAAATCTTTATACTAATTCTCCTGGGTATAATTAATGCTAAATATAACAGAAAGTTAAAGTACTTGATGTTACACATAATAACGGTGGCAAGGATTGCTTTTGTGCAATATTGGAAGAATATGCCGCCAGAGGGATTGGTAATCCAAAAAATATTTGATTGTGCAGAAATGGACATGCTTAAGGGAAAGGATAATTCGGAATACTATGCAGTATAGGAGAAATTGTATGAATGGATAGACAATAGAAATAAGAAATGGAAACGTACATAGGCTTAGCATGTTTGGAAATAGAATGTATATAATGTATTGAATATTGATTCTAGTTGTATGAATAATGCCATAGATCTGTTAAATATGTAATAGAGACATGTAAAGGAAAAACTGAAATAAAAATAAATATTTAAAAAAATCTTTATACTCATATAAACTGCCTGAATCTCCTGATTGCCCCAGCGCTTGGCTTGACAAAGACGGGGCAACTTGCAATCTCCTACTAACTTGCCCATTGACTTTGTGGGAAGCTGGTAGGCAGAGAAGGTTGCACATGGTAATGATTCGACTGTGGGTCTTGCAGTTGTTGTAAGTGAGAACTAGTTGCCAAGCACCCAAATCGCAAGCATGAGCTGTGATGGCCAAATTTCAAATGTCAGGATCACAAGTCCCCCTCGCTCAGTAACATCATAACTGAATGGCCTCTTAATGAATGGTTGTAACCTGAAGACTACTTGTTGTTAATGGAAATGCCCAAAGATCTGTTCTAAAAGAAAATGAAGACAAAGGGGTAAAATGGGTTGTAAAAAATGCATTGGTGGTGATTGTAGGGCTAGATGACAAGGGCAGATGGCAGTATTGACTAGATGGGCAGCCCAAAAGGCAAGGATGGGGAGAGTGGATAGGCAAGCGGGGATTTCCAGAGCAAGTAGTTCTTTAATTGAGATTTGGAATTTTAAGGGATCAAGTTGGGAGTGGATTTGATTGGGGTGGGGTGGGGTTATTTATTGTATAGCACATTCACATAACATTTCAGTAAAAAGAATACATGAGTAAAATTGAGGGGAATATTTGGTTAAGGACTGATGGGGTTCATTTAAAAATAGCAACAGAGACTGAAATTAAGTTTAGGATTGAGCATATATTATAGTATAGTTGTTTTGATTTGTATTCGTGGGTTTCTGCAACTTAATTACAGTTTGGTATGAATTATTCTGAATAATTATTTGTGGTATCTTTATTGCTTTTTTCATTGCAGGTATTATAAGAGCATGTGTAGCTTTTATTAAATGTTTATTTTAAGAAATTTAAATTTTCTGCTATATGCAACACAATTCTTTAATTAATTATTATTTTTGTTACAGAAGCACTTTAAACAGTAAATGGTGCTGATAGAAGATCTACTGAGATTTTGCTGTAATAGCTACCAGTGAAAAACACTTTGCGAATGGGATGAATACGCAAAGAGTGACTGCCTGCAGCAGCTTCATAACTCAAAGTAACTAAGTGGAGCACTTAACTAAGGATGTTTTCATTTCTACTTTACCCCATTTGACTTGGTTTGCCTTGATTGGGGGAAGACATTCAAAGTGGAGTACCATAAACTTGATATGGATAAAAAAAAAGACAAAGACAAACTGGATGATAGAATGGCAAGGCCTAGTGCACGCTCAAGTCACAATCCACGAGGTAGCAGCTCATCAAATTCTGGTGTGTTAATGGTTGGACCTAACTTCAGAGTTGGAAAGAAAATTGGTTGTGGCAATTTTGGGGAGCTACGATTAGGTAAGCCTTTCTTTATTTAAACAGTCCAGTAAAGACATCTAAAGAGAGTGTGTGTCTAAAGAATAATTTCATTCACTAGGACATTTAAAATCATATCCATTTATATTTGTAACAGTTCTACCAATATGTTTAAACAGGAAGTAATACCGTGTTTCCCCGAAAATAAGACAGGGTCTTATTTTCTTTTGACTCCCCCGAAATAAGCACTTGGCCTTATTTTTGGGGAGGGCTTATTATTTTGAAGGTGAGCATGGTCACCTCCTGGCTGCTGCTGTGTTGTAATATTTTCGGAAAGAGCTTATTTTCAGGACAGGGTTTATTTCAGTGCATGCGCTCAAAAGCCCGATTGGGCTTATTATTCGGTGAGGTCTTATTCTCTGGGAAACAAGGTATATAATATAACACCAGGTTAGATCTTTGGAGTTATTCACATGTAAGACTCACTTGGGATTTTAAACTATAGTCTGTTGAATCATTATAGTCCGTTGGGCCACACTTCATAATAATACATATTGGGTATAATGTTAAAAATATAATAGAATAATTTTAGCTGTTCCCACTGGAAGACATAAATGATCAGGCAACCTATGTTAGAATACTGCTTGTTTAATCTTAAACTATACTTCCCAAACAATTTCCACTAAAAGTGATATTTAACTGGCCTGTTTGAAAAAAATATATACTAGATGATTCAAGCTAGAGTTCAAGTTAACCTTGTAATGTATTAAGAAATTATTAATTCAGTTGGATTTGATATGAATTTATAATCTGATAGTAATTTAATTTGAATTCTAGTTTTTAGAAAAATACTTCTGCAAATAAATGTACATTTGGATCCATGATTGAGCCCAAGATAGAAACTTCTGAGAGAGCAGTTTCAGAATGTTTTATATGATTTCGTACATTGCTCTAAGTCATTGGTTTAACTAAAGATAATTTAATAAACCATTGGTTTACATATCATGCTCAGCTATAACCATGTTTACAAAACATAGTGAATTGATTTATAATCTTACCCACTCACTCAAAAAAAGAAAAATTGTAGCATGAAAAAAAACAATAGTCGAAAGTACTATTTTGGATAGATGAAAAGCAATTTAGAAAAAATTGAACTTTATAGAGATGTAATTGAGAGAGTGAGATCAAAAAAAGCTGCCATGTAAAAAATAAATACGGTTAGTTGGACACAAAAATGGCCTTTGTTAAAAATGTTTTGAACAAATTGGCCAAAGCTTAGTGAGGAGCTCAGGCAGAAGATAGAAAGAAGACAGAAAAGACAAGATGTACTGGGCAGATCTAAGATAATTAAATCAGATAGCAGAAACTGACAGCAAAATGAACATTAAAGGAAATGCATATGCCACTAGACCTAGACCCTGAGACAGAGTGGGTAAAGCCAATCTCTAAAAGAAAGCTGAGGAATAGCAGGAAACAAGTTGGCAGCTCTTCATAGAGTTGTTCATGTATTTTTCTCAGATTTTTTTGTTTGCTAGTTTTTCTCTGGAATTGTCTTTTTACTTTACTGCTTGGATTTAAAATGTTATGAAAATTTTGAATTTGAATACTGGAATGGTGGTTTAAAGTTGATGATGAAAACAACTGCAAATCAGTTACTTACCTAACGCATACATAGGAAAGATGAAGTTGGTACCATGACTTGGATTCCAATGATGTGTTTAATCTGTGTGCAAGGTACATGATAGTAAAAGGGGTTGCTGGGAAAAGGGATGTTGCTGGATCTCATTATTAGTTGTCAAGCATATTGATATGAAGAAAGGTAAGTTTTGATTAGTAAAGCTAAACCCATCAAATTATTGCATTATTCAAATTTACGCTATTCAAAGCAATATTTCTGTAATAGTAATTTGTTCCAGCTCAATAGTGATAGGCAATGGAAAATTGTAAACATAAATGCTTATATATGTGTGTATGTGTGTATGTTTATGTAATGAAATACATTCAGAACCTAGATGTACTAGTAGATTATATAATATTAAATTTAGATTAAATTAGGTTTACTACTATTTATTTAGTAGAAAACAGCTAGTTGGACAAGGGCCCTAAAGATACACAGTTTTTTTCCTGTATTTAAGTCTTTTTCCAAGAGAGCTTTACTTACACATCAAACTCTTGATTTAGCAATTCATTTACTTATTTATTTACCATTTGTTTAGCAAATTTATCTTCCTATTCATTTTTGACCTCTCATTCCTGTTTCTTTTTTTAACTTTCGTCTTATTGCTCTCTTTGTTTTCTTGCCTCTTTAGTGAAAAAGCAAATCTGCACTAAGCAGAGTGTCATTTTAGTGTAATAATTTATTGGACTTTGATTTGATTCAAAGTCCTGTAACTAAACTTGGAGATCACTGATTGAATTCAAGTAAACTTTAGTCTCTGGTCCAACCTACCTTACAAGGTTGTTATAGGATTAAAAGGAAGGGATAATTTTAGTGGGTGCAGATTAGATAGAGGTCTGTTAGAATTGCTTACAGAAATCTTCTGGAGAAATCTATGTTCTTATATTTCTTTCATAAATGAGCATCCTAGCAAAGACTCCAAAAGAGACTCAGGTGCTCCTAATATTAACCTAACCAGTATGGAAAATAAGGGATGTAATAAGTTATGCTTCAGAAAAGATTCCTTCCCTGTGATGTACATTATAGCTGTATCTTGTTGTTGTTATATATACTGCACAACAGTATGAAATCACAGCTATCATTTCTTTAGTTGGTATTGGCTCACATTCATATCATATTCTTCTCAAAATCTAGGATGTGCAGATCCAAGTAGTGTAGCCTTTTGTAATTGACAACTGTAAATTTTGTCAATGCACAGGTTTTCTAAGTGTCATCCAAGACCTTTTGATATGGCTTCCAAATGTGCTATATCAGTGATGGTCAATCTTTTTCTTACGGTGTGCCAAAATTGCATGCACATGTGCCCACACCAATTCAATCCTCCTTGCCCATTTGGGCATGCCCGTGCGACCCCCCCCCCCACATTCGTGCACAACCCCTCCCCAGGCTTTGGAGGTTTTCCGAAAGCCCGGGGAGGGCAAAAATCGCTTCAGAAAAGTCTCAGGAGGCTGGAGAGGGTGAAAAATGGTGGGCCAACCGGAAGTTCAGAAACTATCCATTTCCAGCTTCCAGAGGCCCTTTAGGGGGGCAGGGGAAGCCATTTTCACTCTCCCCAGGCTTCAGGAAAGCCTCCAAAGGCTAGGGAGAACATAAAACAGGCGCAACAGGCCAAAAGAAAGTTCATTCCCAAACTTCCAGTTGGCTCGTTGGGGTCGCTTTTCACTCTCCCCAGCCTCCAGAGGCTTTCCTGAAACCTGGAGAGGGGGAAAACAACCTCCCCCACCCCTCCAAAAGGCCAAAAATCAGCTGGCCGGCGTGTGCATGCGTGCCGGAGCTGACCACTGGCATGCCAGCAAATATGGTTCTTGTGTGTCATGGTGCTATAGCATGCACAGTAAGAAAATATCAATAGCACTTAGACATATATATGTTTTCATAGTGCTTTTACATCCCTCTCTAAATGGTTAACCCAGACATCCTAATGCCCCAACAATCTGGGTCCTCATTTTACCCACCTCGGAAGGATGGAAGACTGAGTCAACCTTGTGCTGGTGAGATTTAAACTGCCAAATTGCAACTAGCAGTCAGTTGAAGTAGCCTGCAGTACTGCACTCCAACAACTGTGCCACCTCGGCTCTTCTAAAATAGTTAAATAAATACCTGCTACTCAAATAACACAAAAACCTTAAAATCAGAACCAACAGTAACAATAAAATGTCAACCCCTCCTCCCATTATGATGAACAATAACTTTTCCAAAGCCTTCTGGAATATCAGCCTTTTTCAACTTCTGGAAAGCCTTTATCAGTGTATGTGCCGAGGGGGTTGTATAATTTATACAAGGAGGCTGTTCCAAAATATAAGTGCCCTAGTTGAAAAACTACTTTCTAGTCTCGACTTCCTTCACCTCATAAAAATGGGATATCAGCATATTCTTCTGCGAATATCTCTCATTGTGCAGAGGAACACTATTTATAAATAAAAATTAGTACTTTTAATTGCACCTGGAAACCTAATGGTAATCAATTCGGGTCCTACGAGATTTTGTTATAATCATCTATTTACAGCCATAGTAAGCCCGTTTATTACAAGTTGTGACACTATTATAGTTGTAAGTTGTGATAGTCATTAAGTGAAGTGTTAATGTGATCACATTGCTGAATTCTAAAACTGTGATGGAATCTCCAGTTAGAGTGGGGGTGGAGAGGGAGGTGTGATGAGGTTAGCTAGTGTCCTTGCACAGCAGGAAGTGACACAGAACTGACTTCCCCTGGAATCCCTAAAATCCTTATCTGGCTATTGCCAAGAGTCAGTCTGGCAAGATTCTTGCAAATAGGCATGCAACAATAAAGAACCAACTCTGATTAGGTGGTTGTTCTAGTTCCTTGAGCCTGACAGAAATTCCTGCTGTCCCTGTTGTGTCATTAACAGGTTCCTCAGAGGAGGCCCTGAGAGGTCTGGCATAGTCCCAGGTTTGCACAGCAGCACTTCACCAACTTACATATGGTCTGCCCTGGATCTCCCTGGACATTCCTCTCTTCCAAATACCTTCTGAAGTACTCCAGCTAGGGTGGAAGATAATGGAGGGTGGTGGTGCTGCAGCATCCCTGTGGGTTGGTCATAAGGATGGGTGAATTACTAAGAGCTTGAATTTTGTTCACATGACTAAGGGGTCATTGCAATGGATGTAACTTGGGGAAAAGGCCATAAGTCTTTTCATTCAGTGCTGTTGTAATTTCAAATGGTCACTGTAAAAGAAGCATTATATTTTCAAGCTTACAATATTCTGATACAATACAATACAATAGCAGAGTTGGAAGGGACCTTGGAGGTCTTCTAGTTCAACCCACTGCCTAGGCAGGAAACCATATACCGTTTCAGACATCATCTTAAAGACTTGCAGTGTTGGGGCATTCACAACTTCT